ATTGCACTGAACCTACATGCTGAAGCCAAGAGATACCAACAACTTATTACAAGAGACAACTATACACCAATGAACATCCTTATGAAAGAGAAAGTGGATCCATCTCAAGAGCTCCACAAGTCTAAAACCTTGGAAACCATGAAGAAACAATCATTTCTCCCCACAAAAGTTACAATCCCCTAACAATTTTTGAATAGAAACCAGTGAGAAGTCCTGGAAATGAAAGACAATAAATCAAATTTTTAAAAATCACTTGAAAGTATAACCAACAAGCTAGATTGAACTGAAAACAGACCTCAGGCTTCAAGGACAGGGTATTTGAACTGGAACACTCAACACACACTAAAGAAAAATAAAGATAAGACCATGATCAAAATATACAAGAACTCTGAGACAACATTAAGAGACAAAACTATCCTGATGACTTATTGAGTTATCAGTATAGACAAGGGCATAGAATACAGGCCAATGGCATTTAGAACATTTTAATTAAGATGAGATCAGAAAAAAATTGAACCTTAGGAATGCAGTGGATATTGACATATAGAAGCCCAAATAGACAAGATCAAAAAAATAACCTCTTCAAGTCACATCACAATCAAAATGTCTAACAAAGAAAACAAGGACAGAGTATTAAAAAAAACTGCATGAGAAAATATCAGATCACTTTTCGAGGTAGACCAACAGTATTCATTTCAGACTTCTTAACTCAACCTCTAAAAGCCAGGAGAGTTTGGAATGAGGTAATACAAGCTCTGAGAGAAAAAAAAATTGCCAGCCAAGGTTGCTATATTCAGCAAGTTTATCATTCTGAATTGAAAGGGAAATTTAAAAATTTCCACAACAAGGATGAAATGAAAGAATTTGTGACCACTAAACCAGCACTAAAGAAAATACTTAAGGAAATGCTGCAAAAAGAATTTAAAAAGAAGCCTCAGAACTCTCAAATGGATGAAGCTATCTGGAACAATTAAGCAACTGAAAATTAAGGACAAGTTAAATCCATGAAACAAGCCAAAATGACCAGATAATAAACATCTTTCCATAATAACTCTGAATGCAAATGGTCTCTACTTTCCCATTAAGACACTGGCAGAGTGAATTAGCAAACAAGACCCAACAATATGTTGTTTTCAAGAAATTCATCTTATAGGCAAACAAATCCATAGACTGAAGATTGGTTCAATGTACATAAATGAATAAATATATTTCATCACAAAAACAGAATCAAGGACAAAAATCACATGAGCATCTCAATAGGTGCAGAAAAAGTCCCTGACAAAATTCAGCACCCATTCAGTTAAAAACAGTTAAGATACTAGAAATAGAAGAAATTCACCTCAACATTTTAAAGGCTATGTATGACAAAACTAAAGCCAACATCATACTATACAGAAAAAACTGAGAGTATTTCCTCCAAAATCAGGAAACAATGCAAAGATGTCCACCCACACCCCTCCTACTCAATACAGTTCCTGAAACTCTAGCCACAGCAATCAAGCAAGAAAAAAAATTAAAGGAATATAAAAAAGAAAAGAAGTTGTCAAACTATCTCTGCTGATGATATAATTCTAGAGGACCTCAAAACTTCACCACAAGACTTTTAACCCTGATAAACAAATTCAACAAAGTAGCAGGTTACAAGATGAACACACAAAAAAATCAATAGCTTTCTTATATTCTAATAATGAACCTGAAGAAAACTATTCCATTCACAACCATCTAAAAAAAACACTTGGGAATAAATCTAACCAGAAAGGTGAAAGATTTCTCCAATGAAAATTATAAAACACTGATGAAAGAAATAGAGGAAGTCCTTAGAAAATGGAAAGACTGTACAGGTATAATTAATATCATAGGTAGGTAAAATTAATATCATAAATGGCCATTTTACCAAAAGCCATCCACAGATTCAATGCAGTCCCAATCAAATTTCCAATGGCATTCTTCACAGAACTAAAAAAGTGTCTTAAATTTTATATGGAAGAATAAAAGACCCAGAATAGTCAAAGCAATCCTGAGCAGCAAGAGCAATGCTAGAGGCATCACAATACCTGAAACTACAGAGCTATATAATGCAAACAGCATATATTGGCATAAAAATATGTATGAAGGGGCTGGGGATATGGCTCAAGCAGTAGCACGCTCACCTGGCATGCATGCGGCCCGGGTTCAAGCCTCAGCACCACATACAAACAAAGATGTTGTGTCCACCGAAAAAATGAAAAATAAATATTGAAATTCTCTCTCCTTTCTCTCTCTCTCTGTTTAAAAAAATATGTATGAAGACCAATAGAAAAGACTAGAATACACAGAAACAAATCCACATAAATACAGTCATCTAGGGAATGAAGTTGATCAAATTATGATACGTGCATGCATAAATATATTACACTTAATTCCAATGTTATATATAACTAAATGCACCAGTTAAAAATAAATAACCAGGCTCAGGAAGCTAAGGCAAGAGGATCAGGAGTTCAAAACCAGCCTCAACAACTTAGCAAGGCCCTAAGCAACTCAGTGAGACTCTGTCACTAAATAAAAATACACAAAGGGCTAAGGATGTGGCTCAGTGGTTAAGAGTGCCTGGGTTCAATTCCCTGTACTACTACTACTACTACTACTACTACTACTACTAATAATAATAATAATAATAATAATAATAAATAGAAGGAAGACCAAAAAGGTAAAGGAAGGGAATTGGGGAAGGAGAAGAAAAGAAATGAAGCAAACTATGTGATATTTACTTATAAATGTGTCAAAATAAATCCCCACTATTACATATAATTATAATGCATTAATTAAAAAAATAAAAAATACAGAATGTGAAAAAAGAGAGAACAAGAAGAGGTGCAATCAATCATCTATGTTTCTCCCTTAGAAAACTAGAAAAGCAAAGCAAATTAAAACCAAAGCAAGCAGAAGAAAGTAATTACAAAAAAATAGAGCAAAATTCAGTCAATGTGAAAATGGTAACTCATCAGAGAAAATTCACAAAACCAAAAGTGGTTTTTTAAAAGTTTTATACAATTAATATTTTATTAGCCTCTAACTAGGCTAAGAAAAGAGAGGAAATAAAATACTATTATCAGAAATTAAAGCAGAAACATTATTACAGATCAGAACCATAAACATTAAAGAAAGAATAAAAGAATATTATGAGCTTATACCCATAAGCTCATAACCCAGGTGTTGGACTCACATCTTGAAAAACACAATCTGCCCACAATAACACAAGAAAAAATAGACAAAGTAGGTCCATGTCAAAATAACTTAACCAATAAGTACCTTCAAAAACAGAAAATACTGAACCCAAGTGGGTTTACCACTATATTCAACCAAATTCTTTAGGAAGAAATTTTACCAATTCTTTTTTTCTCTTTTTTTATTTTTTAGATGTAGATGGACACAACACAATGCCTTTTTTTTTTATGTGGTGCTGAGGATTGAACCTGGGTCCCGCCCAAGTGAGGCGAGCGCTCTACCGCTAAGCTACAATCCCAGCCCTATACCAATTCTTTACAATCTAAATCAGAAGACAGAAGCAGAGGGAATACTTCCTAATTCTCCTATGAACACATATATAAAGGTCTTCAATAAAACATTAGTAAATCAAACCCAACAATGTATAGAAAGAATTATGCACTACAACCTAATGGAATTTATCCCAGGTATGAAATGTTGGTTCAGTATTTAAAAATCAATTAATATAATTCATCACATCAATAAGCTAAAATAAAAAATAGCAGATGACCATATCAAGAGACTCAGAAAAAGGATTTGACAAAATCTATCACTAGAGTATTCATAATTAAAACTCTCAGCAAACTAGGAATAAAGGAGAATTTCCTTAACTTGACAATGAATGTTAATAAAAAAAAAAAAACCCTTAGAATTAACATCATTCTTAATGGTGAGAAAGAAACTAGATACATTCCCCTTGAGATCAGGTACAAGGCAAAGATGCCCCTCTCATTACTACTTTTCAATGTGATCCTGGAAGTCCTAAGCTAATGCAACAAAACAAGAGTTCAAAGCTCCTCTAAAGTCTGAAAGTCTGGAGTACCTGACACTTGATGGGTGGTGGGGTTGCTCCCTTGCTGTTATCGTTGCTGCTTTTATTATGAGAATAACTGAACATATGGAAAGCTAGATGTTCGTTATTTTTTTAAACAATTTTTAGAGTTTCAGAAGAAGTTTCTATCATTTTCCTGTGACCCCCTACACTGTCTCTGCAGCCAACCGCAGCATCCTCAAATCTCACACTCATTATAAGGGTTTATGTCTCAGTCACAGTCACATGTAACAGAGTTCTGCAAAGTCCATCTGAGAAACCTGCTGGAATGCATTCCTCCTAGGATTTCAGTGAATCCCTGCTCCCAAATACCCAAAACAATGGATTGATTTTAATAAGAAAGACCACCAGTGTTATCCTTCTCAAAGTGTGGTCCTCCACCAGCCACATCAGCTTCTCCTGAGAACTTGTTAGAAGTGCAAGTTCTTGGGCCCCAGTCCAGACCACTGAGTTAGAAATTCTGGAGATGGGCCCAGTACTCTGTCAACACAAGCCCTCCAGGGGATTCTGATGCCTATTCCCACTGGAGAATCAATGATCAAGAGGAATCACAAGTCATATACTGCAATCATTCGGTTCTCCGTGGGTAAAGTTTACAGTATTTTAAATGAGTAAAACATGATTTAAAGGCTCTTGGCATTCTCTAAAATATTTTTACTTTGGGCTGAGGTGGTGGCTCAGTGGTAGAGTGCTTGCCTAACATGTGTGAGGCACTGGGTTCGATTCTCAGCATCATAGATAAATAATTAAGAAATAAAGATCCACTGACAGCTAAAAAATATTTTTAAAAATATTGCCTTTAAAAAATAATTAATAATAAAAGCCAATATTTTTCCTGCATGAGCAAAAAGTACAGAAGAAATATCGAGTGGTGTCTTGACACATACCCTAATCAGGTACATGGGAGGCAGGTGTGGCTTACCTGACAGATGCCACTGATACACATATCCAGGGAGTCAGCATTGCAACGAGTTCCATCCAGTACTTTGGGTGCCAGCTCCACTACCAGGTTCTGTCCCCGTGCATGACACTTGAGTGCACACGGCGAAGCAGGATCATTATATAGTGGAAGCCATTCATAAAAACGCCCCTGATACTGGACATCATTGTAGGCTGAGCACTGTTGGGCTCTAAAGTCTTCTGCATCTGGGGGACAGTCCTGGAGGCAGAGAAAAAGGAACATCACCCTCTGACACATCACCCAAGGACAGGGGCCACAGAGGGCTGAACAAGGCCACCAGAATGTCATAAGACCAGACTCCACTTGCATCTTTACTTGGAAATAACACCTCATTCCTTCATTATTTCCTCCTTTTTAAAAATTAGAAAATGAATCTATAGCTATGAAATTCCACTTGGGATCTTGCAATAATAATCCATCATCTCATTCATTCTGATGACTTTTCCACTCGGGTATTTTTGTTTATCAGATAATTAAAGTGTGCCATTTGAGGTATCAAATCTTGCCCTCGTTTAACAATCTTGGATATAAATTTCCAAGTGCAATACATGATCCTTCTTTTTTGAAACAAGGGAAACTAAAGGCCCTTGATATTTCTAAGTGATTCCAGGTCTTCAGAAAAACACAAATTATTATTCATGTTTTCTGAAGTAATTTCAATGGGAAGGATTATTTGCTCCTAATTTAATCCCAAACTACAGGGCTTTGTTAAACTTGTTATCTTTGTTGTTGTTTAATTCATGTGCCTTTTCTCCCTTGTCAGGCCCCCACCCTTTGCTCTTCACTGATACCAAACACCTGCTTCCACTGGCTATAGGATGGGCAGCAGATAATGTCACTTGTTCAAATTCTGTCTAAATGAAAACAAGTAAATTGTAGCAAACACTCTAAGGCACTTTCATAATGATAGTTTATAAAAAGCTCTTGGACAAGTATTGATGATTCTGGAGTCTTTTTACTAAATTACTAACTCTCTCCTCTAGGCATTTCCAGAACAAGGTGCTGGATGATAAAAGTGTTGACTTTCCTCATTGAATTTTGGTACACCAAAATTCCTAATTAAAGAAAAAAGAAAACAGATACAGAAAAAGGCAATATATTATTTGGTCTTTTATCATTAAAATAATTAGTATTCTTTGTAAACACTTGGGGAAATAGTTCCAATTAAAAATAAGTAACTTATATGTGTATTAAGAATTGTAATGCCAAAAAAAGAGTACATGTATAATGGCATAATTTAGTGTAAATATAATTTATATACAGAGTCACGAAAAATTGTGCTGAGTATAGGTAGTAATGAGTGTAATGTATTCCACTATTGTCATGTATTTAAAAAATAAATAAAAAAATAAGTAACAAAGATTCTTGTATCTAAATCTTTATATAAATCTTGGTTATCTCCCAAAGACTAGTTTCGAAGTCAAAGAATATGCTAGTTTTGTGGACTATTCAAAATACTGCCAAATTGCCCTCTATAAAGGTATTATTGCCAGGTTATATAAGTTTCTTTTTCTCAATACTTCTTCCAAGTTTGTATGTTAATAATTTTTTAATATTCTTCTAATCAAAAGTATAAAACAGAATTTCATTGCTTTCCTCTATATTCTCTTTTTATTATTTAGGTTTAATGTCTTCATGTTTGTTTGCTTTTTGTACCAACCCTTCAAAAATTTCCTATTTTATATCCTTGATTCATTTATCTACTGAAAAGTATGTTGTTTATTATTTTAGCAGATAAAACTATTAACCTTCATAGTGAGGTTATCAAGTTTTGTCATTTGTGTTGGAAATATTTTTTCCCATTTAATTTTGCTTTTGGTTCTTAGTTTATTCTGATGGATAGTATGAGTCAGAAATCTAGCTCTATTTTTTTTCTCACTAATAGATACTAATAAATTTTCAGCCAGGATTTTAAATCATAATTTCTCCCCTTTCTACTACTTGACCTTTGTGATTTACCTGTATATGCTTTCAGATTTTGTGTTATTAACTGCCTTGAATCTTGTTTGGAGAGTAAGTAGGGAATATACAAAAAACAAGGGACAAACTATCTCCTGGAATTACTTGGGCTGTTTTGCTGAGAACCCCTCCAAAATACCATTTTGTATCCACATTTTTGTCGTCTTAGGCAGATTGAATTCTGAACTTAGGTCACACCTATGGAAGCAAGTCAAACTGAAGAACACTAGAACCAGATGACTTTTCTCTCTTAAAATGAGGAGTTTGTCCTCCATCTGGCCATAGACAAGATCAATGATAAAATGACATCACTTCCTTTTCCTCCAGCCACAGCCAGTTTTCTCTGTATCTGATTCTTTGAAACCAAAGAAATGTGTAAGAGAGCAGCAGGGTGCAGGCAACTCCCCTGCAGGAGGCCCCTGACATTGCCAGCACTCTCCAGACACAAATGTGCTGGCTGCCTCACTCTGGCCTTCGTTAACCTCCATAACCCAATGAAGTTTCAAAAAATTAATGAAAGTTAGTTAACAGAAGACAGCTTAGAATGGCAGCTAAGCTTAGTCCTTGCCCAAACTGTAGCCAGGTGTGTGTCCTCCCTGACCATAGCTGACCACCCAGGAGCAAGTATCTGGCCCATGCCAGGTTAATTTTTCCCAGGCATTTGGAATTGCAACGAAAAGAACCAGAGCTGAGAAGTCATACATGAGTCCAGGCTGGGCAGGCCATTTCTTTAATGAAATGAATATTGAAGCAAACCAAGGTAGTTCCCACAGCAAGGAAGAATGAAATAGATAAGAAAAAAGATGATAAACCATGCATTTCAATAAAAGGGGCAAGTAACCTGTGTTCCTTTCTGATTCCTGGCTCCAGGTCTTCAAGGTCTACTTATACTTAAATTCCATTCTATAACCACAAATCTATTCAGTGAATCCCATTTTTCTAGAGCTCATTTTAGTAGGCTTCTCTGTTCCTTGTGTCAGAGTGGGGTAGGTTGGTAGATAGAGTAAGAGGATGGGAGAGGGAGAATAGGGCTCACTCTTCTTTGGTTATGAAAATCAATTTACCTCAGGAGATGTAAAAACCTCCTTCACCACAAGATACTGCCTTCTAAAATTAAAGAAACTGGGTGTGACCACACTAAGGGACTTTCTAACTTTGGTGCATATGCAAATCACTGTCACTGTCATTTTGGTAATCCTAGGCTCACTGTAATATAATTTATAATGCAGTTTTGACACCCCCTCCAAAGCCCCATAGATCCCACTTGGGTACTGATATGAATTTTTCCAACATGGTGAAATGAGCTCAGGTGCACTAAGCCTTGGTGGGAAACCACAGTAACCATCCCAAACATAATACATGAGAAAGGAAGCTTCCAAGCCCAAATGTAAAAACCTGCCATGTGGAAACCTCCAGGCTGTGTCCTCTCTTAGGACAGCCAGCTCCATGGTCTCTGAGCCTTACTTCCACTTCACTAAATAGAACTCTAATGCTTATTCTGTGTCACCAGATGAAATCTTTCTTTTGAGAAGATAAGAACTGAGGAAACTATTGCCTTGTAACATTAGAAAATGATGATTGCTGGTGAAGACAGGTTTAAATCTAGATAATGCTTCCTAGTCTGCCAGAGGTTATTAGGGGCATTCTTTTTTTCTCCAAACTATTTAAGCTAGGCAGGTCCGCACTATTTGATAATTGGAGGAAATCATGACCTACAAAGTGTTTAGCCCCTAGCAAAAAAAAAAAAATACAACTGGATATGGCAGAGTTAATAATTTGATATTCAAATTAGCAAGCACTCCATTATATGATGTGGCTTTTGATTAAAGGCAGGAGCCATTACATTAAATGCTTACATTAAATGCTTTCATTTACGTCATCAGCACTTAAGCTCACCTAGTGCAGCTCAGTTGGGCCAGGCAGCAGCTCAAGACAATCTAGGGGCTCTTGTGTTTTATATGGAGACTCAAATGCCCAACATTCTTCTCCTTTCCCTTCCCTGAGAAGTATTTTCTTAATCAGAGTTAAGTTCAAGGAAGCATTATTTATTAAATATACTTTATGAGCTTCACCCTAGATCATATGCTATAGGGAACAGAATATAGTCCAACTTTCTCATTTCATGAGCTTGTTCTCTGATCACATCTCCATGCATGAAACACATGGAAATGGTGTGCAATTACTGGCATTTGCAGATTTGCAGTACGAATGAAATAGAGGAAATAAAATTGTTATCCAAGAGTTAAATTATAAAATGAATTAAGAATTGATAAGGAAAGAACAGACCTGAGATCAGCAAGACCCGACTCTAATCTGATAGACGGAATTAGTATATCTATAAAAGAATTGTGTCTCAGAGGGAGTAGCCAGTCTGAGAAACACAGAAAAGTAAGAGGAGTCTCAGAGAAGGAGGAGGAAGAAGAAAAGGGGGGAAAGGAAGGGAGGCCAAGGGGTAGAGGAAGGAAGAATGAAAAGAAGAAAGAAGCTGATGACCACTAGCACTCATTCACAGACCATCCTGAAAACAGGGGTCTCCTTACCCTCTTACAACTACAGGAATGTGGACAACTTAAAGAGAGAAGCCAAGGCAGGAAGATTACCTAATAAACTGGGTATTTTTATGCAAGAGAGACAGACCATTACCTAAGAAACTATTTATATAATGGGAATGTATTGAGCTGTAATTTGGACATTGGTTAATGTTTCATCCAGTTAACGAGTGAGTAGGGATCAAAGAAAAATACAGTTTTTGTTGTATGAAAATTTTAAAAGTTAAATTTTGTGATATTTTTGTATAACAAATGACAAAAATTTCTAATATAAAAACAAACTACCAAGTGGTCACCATAAGCTAGAGTTGGTAAGGAAGATGTTGTGGTAAAGTGAAGTCTGAGATGAGATTTACTGGATGGTGAGTTGTAAATAGGCCAAGGTATAGGAAACAATATGAGCAAAAGAGAACTAGGAGGAATAAATTTAGTATACACTAGCAAAAGTACACAGTCTTGTCCACAAGGGTGGCAATTGTGAGATGCATAAGAGATACACCTAGTCAACTTCTGAACGCCCCTGTATGCAAGGGAGGGGATCAGAGAACACCAAGATGCAGGCAGGGGAGTGACACAGAATAGGTGCCATTTGAGGAGACCAGTGTAATTGCAGGATGGCCTGGAAGGCTGGAGACAGGAGAAGTGGCTCTCTCCCAGAGCAGGAGCAACAGCAGTGGAAAGACAAGAACACCTCGAGGAAAAACACAGAATAAAAAGGTATTGGAAACCATGCATAGGATCCATGATATGAAGGACCTTTAAGGGCCACATCAAATGTTGCCTGTTATGGGAAATCATCAGGGATCCCAGAGAACCCACTGTACGGAGCTAACTACACTCATAAAAATATCATGTTCATGGCTGGGTATGGTGGCGGACTGAAATCCCAGAAACTCAGGAAGCAGAAGGATCATAAGTTCAAAGCTAGCCTCAGAAACTTAGCAAGGCCCTAAGCAACTTAGCAAAACCCTGTCTCAAGAATTTTTTTTTGTGTGTGTGGTGTTGGAGATTGAACCCAGGGCCTGCACATGCAGAGCAAACACTCTACCAACTAAGCTATATCCCTAGCCCCAAGAAAAAATTTTAAAGTTAAACATTAAAAGGGGCTCAGTGGTAAAGTGCCCCTGGGTTCAATCCACAGCACCTCCCCCAAAAATACACACACACACACTCACTCACACACACACACACACACACACACACACATGCACACATACATATGTTCATGTTACAAATATTCTTGTCAAAATTGTGATATATGCTGTATAATTTAACAAATATTTTCCCCTGGCCTCTTCCAGTCTTGCCTTTAATCCTATAAACACAGAATTAAAAAAGAAAAAAAAACCATGAGTAGTTACTGAATTCACTACTGACTGACATGCATGACTTCGCTGGGAAATTTTCCATTTGCTCTGATATACCTGTGATAAGGATAATTCTTTACCCGGGACTTGGTTGTAAGGATATATGCTGAGGTTTATGTCTGAAGATGGCTGTCATCTGGGATCCAGAGTCCTGCATACAGGTATGTTCTGTTCCTTAATCTTTCAGCCTGAGTCCAAAGCCCCATCTCCCCTGATAGAATGAACCTGGGAGAGCCACTGAACCGAAGCCTGCTGGGGAGGGCAGTGTGGTCCCAGAGCCCTGGTGGAGCCTCCTACTCCTGCTGTTTGAGGCATGGTCTCCTGCAGGTTGGGGATGGAATTTCCTTGTGCTCTCTGAATGCATGTCCCTATAGCACCAGACTTCAAAACGAACCAAAAGAGCATCTGATCTTTCCTTGAGTGCCTGGAACCTAATGTTTTTAGTGTATTCTGCTGCAGTGGGCAGAATTCTGAAATACAGCAGCCAGAGTCTGTGCTCCTTAAGCAGGACCTTTCCTGGGCTAAGATCCACCCAGAGATGTGGGAGTAGGAGACCAACTGGTATGGAAGGAGGCCTTCATTTCTCCAACTTCTCTTCAGTTGCCTCTCAGAATTTGTTCCCTATTCTTTCCTGACCCTTGTCCCTTGATAACTGAATATGCAGAAGGTCTGTGCTACTGTTCCAGATGTTGGAGTTTCTACAAGAGTATCTTAAAATATTCTTTCTTCTATTACCTCAGCAACTCCAAGGTTTATCTCTTAAAAACTACCATGCACTGGATGTGATTGTAGACACCTATAATCCCAGTGACTTAGGAGGGTAAGACAGAAGAATCACAGGTTGGAGGCCAGCCTAAGCAATTTAGCAAGGTCCTAAGCAACTCAGTGAGACCCTGTCTCAAAATAAAAAGCAAAAACGGCTGGAGATGTGGCTCAGTGGTAAACGTCCCTGGATTCAATGCCTAGTATTAAAACAAACAAACAAACAAACAACAACAAAAAAACAAGCTACCATACTTTAGTTACTATTGTCTAGAATATTACTTTGTCATCTAACAAAGCTTAAGAAAAATATAAATCTCATTCAGATGATCTCTCCAAATTCTCATAACTCCCTTTAAATTCTTGTTATTTTGATTTAGGTATGTGTCACCAAAAGGAAATACTCTGAGTGGAAAACAAGATCTGTTCCTTCTGATGTTTACTTTGCATTTTTATATTTGTAAAGAAAAATATTCTAATTTCTTTTAATGTTGACTGATGTAAAATGAGAGTATGGTTATCTAAACTTGTGTGTGGTTTTCTGATGAGTCACCTGAACATACTTTGCAGTGGACACAACAGGTGGTTTGCAATGGCAAAAACAACACTAGACCAGTTCAGGTCTGTACCCTTCCTGTGTGATCTTCAGAAAATAATTTACCCAACTCAGCCTCAGTCCCCTCATTCCCATATTTCACTTTCCTATAAGGCAGAGACCTTGTGAAGCACTTTGAATTTGAAGGAGCCTAAGGTATTTTGTACTGGTTTCTATAAATTCAGAAATTATTAAATACTGACCAAATTAGATCATGACCTTGAAATGACATAAAAGGGCATATAAGTGGAAAAGATGCTGGATATACAAAAGTTGTTGCCAACTAAAGAAATATTCAAATTTTCTACAAAGGTTATTGAGAGATCATTAGTTTTTAACAACACATATTATAATATTATAACTTAAGAGTTATAATATTTGGGGGATTATATGTTCTGATTATAGGACTTACATGATTGCTACATGTCTTGTAACGAATGTTCTGTCCTTCACAATTCCTAAAGGAAAAAAGAAAACAAACAAGAGAAAATAATGACTTTGTCACATAATGGCATTTTTTTGTCAGCAACAGACTATATAAATAAAGGTGGTCCCATAAGATTATAATGTCTAGTGACTTCGTACTCATGTTTGCTTGTGTAAATGCATTCTATGCTGTTTACACAATGACAAAATTGCCTAACACTGTGGCTTTTTAAAATATTTAGTCCTGTGAGAACAGAAATATTTAAAAAGTGAATCTTGAATCTACATGAAGTGATTGATAGAGTCAGCAATATACTTTCTGCATGTACTTTCTGATGATTATATTTTTACTGATTATAAATGGAACAGGTAAAAAGTAATGTACCTATTATGGTTTGAGTATGAGGTGTCTCCAAAAAAGTACTCTATTAATAGAGGAATATTCAAGGTGAAATTATTGGATTATGAGAATTGTAACCTTATTTGTCCATCCTACTTGGAATGGACTGACTGGGTGGTAACTGTGGGCAGGTGGGCTATGGCTGGAGAAGTCCTAGATGGGTTCATCTTCCCTGAAGCACCTGTAGCTTCCCTGTGGCTATGACCTAAGTAGCTTTTCTCTGCTATAACCTTCCACCATGATGCTTCTCCTCACCCTGGGTCCAGAGCAACAGTCAGCCAACCATGGACTAAACCTCTGAAACCATGAGCTAAAATAAACTTTCCTTCCACTATGGTGTTTTTATCAGGTATTTTGGTCACAGTGATGCAAAACTGACCAACACAGTACCAAGTAGTCTCAAGGTAGCCAGGCAGAGTGGCACACGCCTATAATCCTATCAGCTCAAGTTTAAAGCCAGTCTCAGCAAAAGCAAGGCATTAAGCAACTCAGTGAGACCCTGTCTCTAAATAAAATACAAATTAGGGCTGGGGATGTGGCTCAGTGGTCACGTGCTCCCAATTTCAATCCCTGGTACCAAAAAGAAAAAAAAAAAAGTCTCAAGGTGGAAGATCATTCATCCCAAATCACTTCAACAAAGATCTTTATTCTCAATATTTTTGGAATTTAATCTTCCAGCATTTCCATCATGATTTATTTGCAGAGTTGAAAATTATACTGTGAATTCAGCTTTGGATTGGTTTTAATCTAATATTATAAATACTGATAATGCTTAGGGAAAATTCCTTCAATGATTACATAACCATCCATTATACAGACTTCATTTTGTTAGTTTTGAATTAAAATTTCTGAATTGTGGTAAAACACAAATAACATAAAATTCACCATCTTAAGTGTATAGTTCAATACGTGTTAAGAATATTCACATTGAACAGATACTACCTTTTATAATGGTATTACTTCTTTGTTTCCTTCTTTTACAATTTACACACAGTAAAACTCACTTTTGGAAGTTATATAGTTTTATGAGATTTGACAAACCCATGCTGTATAGGAACCACTACCACGATCAATATTTGGAACAGTGCTGTCATTTTTAAAGATGCCTCATGTCACCCCTTCGTGGTCCATCTCTCCCCACTCAGTTCCTGGCAATCACTGATTTGTTTTCTGACCCCAACATCAAGACTCTTGCAGGATGTGATATCAATTGAATCAATAGGAAGCTATCGTGTGTAGCTTTTCAAGAAGGATTCTTTTTTAGCACAATACATTTAAAATTGTATATCAGTAGTTTGCAACTTTTTTAAATGCTAAGTATTATTCTGTTGAATGCATGCCCAAGTTTTTATTCCCTATCTACATATTTGAGTTGTTTCCAGTTTGGGGCAATTATGAAAAAAACTGCTAAAAACATTCACATACAGGTTTTGTGTGAACATAAGCTTTCAATTCTCTTGGGTAAATACCTAGAAGTGAGATTACTGAGTCTGCTCTTGTTTATGTAATATAAAGATGCTTTGCTAAACATCTTTATGTTCCTGTTTTTGTTCCTACTTAGAATATATTCCTAGAAATGGATGACAAATTTTAGTCCCTTTGAAATTTTTCTAATATCTGAGCTTTAAACTATTGGTTGGCTGAGTATTATTTAATTGGTTGCTTTCTCAAGAAGTATATGTGGCTGGTATATTAATGAACCCTTCATTTCACATAGAAAAGAAAATTCAGCAAGATATGATATTCAATTTATATGATTCTTTCCATCAACACTGTAGGCATGCTGTGCTGACCACTGACACTGTGGCTTCCAAAGCAATCTGATTTTTATTCTTTCTGCACATGTGCTTTATTTTTCTGCCTGGAAGCTTATAGTTTCCTTTTGTTTTGATTTACTTTGTTTTGTTTGCATTTAAAGTAAAAGTTATATTCAGGATATATCTAATTATGATTCTTTCCATCCATTTTGACTGAAAGTCCTTTTGAATCAAATACTTCATTACCAAAAATCAATATGCTTTAAAATAAATAGGAATTTCTCAATGCATATTCATAAAGCTATTTCTTCACTAAAGTTTAATAAAAATGTACTTTTATTCCCAGGCTCTGATTTTCAATGATTGCTCTTTTTTTCCAGAATTATCTGTAATTCTGAAGTGAGCTCCCTCTTGACATTTGTTTTCTTTATCATCTTTGCATGATTTTCTCTCACTTATGTTTAATTCCTTGTGCCTTTTCTTGTGTTTCCAAGAAATAGATAGATATACTTCCTCGTGCCTGATTTTATTTCCCTGTAGTGGTTATTTTGTAATTCATGGTGTTCGATACTTTTTGGTTCTGATTTTCACTTTTCTGCCTTTGCAGTCCTCACACTTGCCCTGTCCATTGACAATTCATATCTCCTCACTTTACATTTTGTCCCACTTGAAACATGTTCCCTTTAGTGTCCTCATGGCTTGTGTTTTGGGGATATGCAATCCTAATTGGTTTGGGAGAGAGGTTTGGGAGTGAATTAAACAGCAACATGGCTGACTCCAAAAGCACTGCCCTAGTGGTAGTTAAATGTCTCAACCTGAAGACAGTCAGGTCCAATTAGCTGCTCCTTCTCAAACTCCCACCTTCTCAGATTATGACAAGTGGATTGACAAAGTCTTCATATTTTGTAACTGTATATTTCCATGTTTTGGCTTGTCCTAGGTATACTTTTCTGAGATTTATTAAAATCTTAATGATACTACATCAAATTTTAAACACTCAAGGTGCACCAAAGTGGGAGGCTGGCAGGAAAACCGGTGAAGAAGTCTCCTTGTCAAAGGGAAATGACTCCATTCTGCTGGGAACAGCAGCTGTGCCTGTGGACAAGCTCATACACTCAGGAAATGTATCTCATTCTACTGTTCATGTGTGGAGAAAAGAAGAAAATAAATAACATGAAAAGTGAAAGGGTAATCTAAGTTACTTGACTTATTTTGGAAACACCCCAATTGAGGAAAACTGCTAATAGATCCTATTACTTCCTGTAATAACTGAAAGCGTTTTGTACCACATTGATTACAGTCCTAAAACATTTGTAATTCCAATTTAAAGGGGGAAGCCAAATTAGACACAATTAAAGATAGTATTTGAATTGATTAATAATACTGGGATACAAAAATTGTGGAAACATACAAAGAATGGCATTTTCTTTAAAAGTGTTTCAGAACTTCGGGAATAATTTTTGAGCTGCATTTGCTTAATTTTAGTTATTTAATTTTTTTAAAAAAACTATATTTTAAAGAAAGAAACTGAAAATGAAGGGAAAACATATCCATCAAAGGTATCTAATGGCTATGCCTCAGGACAGCTATGTAGACCACCCACCCATGCATGGTCTATATACCCCACAGATACCTGCTGTGTCTTGATTTTAAGCTACTATCCTAGAGTCACTAGCTTGCATCTTGATTTTTGAGCCTGAAAATCTAAACCAAAATGATAAGTACATCCTCACTCCAAATCCCAGTACAACTGCATCAAAGTGACATGGGAAAGAAAGTATTTTATTTCATGAAATCTCAAAATGCAAAGCACCATTTTGGATGCCTTCCTTCTCTAACACCTTATAGTGAATCTACTAGGTACTAGGAGGCAGACAGGAAGATGCAGCCATTATCTCCCAGCATATTATTACAAGTCAATAGTAAGGTTTTTTTTTAACAACCCAACCACAGGGCCACCATTCTTAATATTCTATTTCCCTTTGTCCAACCTAACACAGTGAACCCACTGACTGGCCTTTACTGACAGGGCACAGTTTGCTTACAATTCAGTAAGAAAATGAATGACTACTTTATGAAACAGGCATAAAATGAAATGCAAGTTATTTTAAAGTTAAGGACATTGGAGTCCTAATTCCCCAAGCAGGAACCTGCCAGCTTATTCTGGAAATAATTCCTTTGGCCTGAATCAACTAAGCTACAGAAATATTACTTGCAAGTTTTTAATATCATTCTAATTACTATATGCAAGAGCTAATGGTTATCAGGAGTATATGAAAATTCAAGAACATCATTTTAAAATTATGTATTTTTTATCCATTACAACATTCATAGCACCCTGAAACTGAAGACTTTTGAATTCATAAATTTATGAATATATAAAAAACATATGTTGATTCCGTGAGGATACATTAAAAACATTAATAAAATTTCCCTAGAGTTCATAGCACTATAATTTATTATATTCACTTGGTGATATATTGACTCAAATACTAGTGTCATAAAGACTGAGAAGCATGTGTTTTGAAGAATAAAAATATATTAATTTTTTAAAATAGTAGTTAAGTTAAACCTGTGTTTCCCATGGTTGGCACTTGAGGAGAATATCAAGTTACACATTTCTGCAAGCGAAAGAGACATTCTGGCTGGTGTATGGTTTGCGGCATAATAGAACCGACTTGAGCATTTAAATGTAATAAAATTCTGAAATGACTTTATCCACAAAGAAATAAATGAGCAAAATAGCTACATTCATCCCTGTCCCTAAGTCATGAATTTAACGGAGCACACTGATAAGACAGAAGGCACCAGAATGCTTTCTAAAGCCTGGGATGACTTTTTGTTTGGCTTTGTATGCAATCACCTCCATATCCCA